GAGAGAGAGAGGAGAGAGAGAGAGTAATGTAGTAGCTTATACACTGAAAATAAAAAATATCAAAAATTTTAGTGACACAGTAGGTTATTTCACATATATATTTATGAAATGTTAGTAAAAGTATCTTATAATGTTCATACAATTATGAAATTTAACTATATGTTTGACTAAAATATTTTTAAGTGTTGAATAAAGTAGAGTTTTGCCAAATTAATTTATAAGAAGAATTTTGCAATACTATTTATGCATTTGAACTCCAACAAGTATGAATGTTTCTTATTAGAACGTTAAAACCAAAATGAAAGAAAATCACTCTTGAATATAACATAAATAAATAAAATAACTCATGCATCTATAATATATATTAGGTCCTTATTTAGTTATTTAGTGTTTTTCATTAGGGATCGTTTTTCATATATTTTTGTTTGGGTTGTAATATATTATTTAATTATTTTTATGTTACGATATTATTATGATATGTTATGTTATGTTTGAAAAAAAAAATACATTGAAAGTTTATTTGTTGTACATTTTATTTTGTTCCGACAATCATATGTTTATAAAATTAATCAATTTATTTTACTAAACTTAATCGACCAAAAAAATTTGCTATCACGTGCATTGCACGTGCACTTTACTAGTTTAAAAAATGTACATATTCACCCAAGAGCGCTTAGATGAGATGGCTTGGGTCTCTTCCAGCTTAACCAGTGGTCTCGAGCTCGAGCCCTGGGAATGCAGCAGTGTTAAAACTCTTGAGGGAGAGCTTTGCCGCCCTTGTGGTCCTACTCAACTCGATTCCGAATTAGTCGGTTCCCCTGTGGATCCGGAAACCGGAAGGTCTCTGTACCAAAATAAAAATAAAAATGTGCATATCCTTCTCACTACCAAATTCATTAACCAACACTTGAAATTTGAATGCACTTTTCTTACCAATTTTCATTTTAATAATATAATATATGCATTCATATTCTTCTCAACCTTCTCTCTATATATACCAAGAAGCCTCTCTCTCTCTCTCTCTCTCTCAGCATCTCTCTCTATCTCTCTGTCTCTTTCTCTCTCTTGGCTGGAACAATAAAAAATACATTAATTCTGGTTAGTATTTTTCTTGGATTTGAAGCTTTTATTTTACTATATGTGAATTATCTTATACTTGGCATTTGCTTTTCTTTAATTCATTCTTGCATGTTTTAGTTATATTAATTCCTATGAGCACCAATGTGCAATTTTTCTTAATTAAGGAGTTTTTTTTTTTTGGCTCATTTTTCTCTCTTTTGCTCCTTTATTTTATTCAATTTTCCCTATAAATTAAATTAAATGAGATCTTCCATTTTAATATATATGATGTATTTATATATAACTACATATTAGTCCATTAGCTTTGTGTTTGTAGCATTTTTGGTCCACTTATCCCCTGACCAAAAATTAATCCTACGTACGCAAAATTATTCGACCAATTTTATTATGTATTTTCCATGTTTATTTTACACTCACCTGTAGAAATTTCTTGATCAGTATCTTTTTAATTTAAAATGATAATAATTGCACTTGAATCCTCATATATACATTTTTCTCCATCTTAGTATTAATTAGATTCGATATGTTGCATAGAAAATATCAATTTGTAACGTGTAATTAATATTATTAACTATATATTTTTGGGAGATTTTGCGATTTCGTTACGGATCCATTCCGTCGGGGTTTGTAACCGTTAAACCAACTATCCACGAAAGTTACATGATTATTTAATGGTTACAAATTCTGACGAAGTGATTCCATAACGGGACTTTAACATTTCTCTATATTTTTATTGTTAAGAATTAATTATGTAACAACGTTAGGTTTGGTGTCGAAATTTTCTTTGGCCAACATTAAGAAAGCATGCAGTGGAATGCACTCAAAAGAAAAGACATGCCAATTTCTTTTCTTTTCTTTTATTTTTTTCTTTTTTAAATACAAAAAAAAAAAAATAATAAAATTGAAAAAAAAAAAGTCAATTTTCCCGGCTTACCACTTTCATGTTCCACAACATATACATTGTCCCAAGTTACTTTATTACTATATATGCATGCACTAAAAATTTTGGTGTCCTATTTTTACTTTAAATTCTTTTTCTTTTTCTCAAAATTCAAACACACATGCAGCTAAGTCTTTGGGACCATGATTCCATAGTGCTCACGAGTGGATCTTTCACAAGAGTCATGACAATTTTCACACACATTGTGGACTTACTAAATTAATTCAAAACAATTTTTTTTTCCCTTCCGATACGGTCTAATTGTTAGACGGTCGATCGTCGTATCTCTGCAACAAATTGGTATCTTTTTGATTCATAGTTTTAACTAGTTATTCACATTTTCTCTTATCAGGAATATGGAAATGGAATCTTGCGTGCCGCCCGGATTCAGATTCCATCCCACCGAAGAAGAACTCGTCGGCTACTACCTAAAAAGAAAGATCGATTCTCTGAAAATCGATCTTGATGTGATAACTGATATTGATCTCTACAGAATGGAGCCATGGGATATTGAAAGTATATATATATTTAACTTAATAAACAGCAAGAAAGTTTATGTTATTTAAATTTTTATTGTTTTAAACATTTGACAATACCTTTTTATCTATAGTTTCCATCCAAATTATGTCCAAAGTCCAATTATTTAAATTTCTTTTTTTTTTTTTTTTTTTCA